ACCTGTCTATGGTTTTACCAATCGTGATAGAAAATTCCCGCAATAATACCCTAAATATCAGCAAAAATAAACTCCAAACGAAGAAATGTTTCTGTGGTTACTTCTGCTCTTTTTGCGGTTGATTTAAACTAAAATTTAGTCCAAAAATATATGTAAACATATTCTTTTCAGAAAACTGAACCGTGTGTAACCACAATAAAAACCGTACGATATATTTTGTATCATACACGTATTTCAAGGCGGTCGTTTCGTGAATATACCAATAATATATTTTTTGACACTTGTGAAAATGAATGAATAACAATTTTCAGACGACACGCCAGACAGGTCAGGCGCCGTGGTTATTTCCAAGTTATTCGTGCAATAACGCAATAACGTGCAGGGGAGAGCAGTGGAGCATAGAAGGACGCAGGACGCAGGATAGGGGTTCAAGGACCTCGCGTGCAGGACAGGACACCCCCAGTAACACCTGGGTGTAGGGGTGAATGTTGTGATGTAACATAGACAGTGATTATAGGGGTGCAGTCAAGAACAAGAGACTAAACCCAGTTGACATCCCCAAAGTTGTAGCCAGTTTTATAAGGAAAATTCTTGTGATTTTGTGACCTTTCTATACAAGCCAAGCTAAAACACACACTGCAGCATGAAAGTATGAAAAAATAAAAAGGTAGAATGTTGACAGTGGAACATTCTGTGATAGCTCACCTATCTTTGTAAGAATCCAAATAAAGATTGGCTACAGCATGATACATGATGTGATGTGTACTTCAATATCTTCGTGGTTTTGGCCAGTTTCAGAAAGAAAGTGAACGTAGGAACTCAGCCATCAAGAGAGTGAAGTAAAAGAATAATTTCGAAAACTATAGCTTTTTTTATATCTTAAATCCAACATAGAATCGAAAATTAAGGAAGGAATACAATTTTGACAGCAGTACAATAAGTCAATTTACAAAAATAAGTTATAAGGTGTTCATAACTTAGTTCTCCTAGTGTTTGTTTGATTTCCCAGCTTTGGCTGGATTTGTATACCAATCTTGTTTTGTTTACACTTTCTCACCTAAGAATGTGATCGGATCTTGGATTTAGAAACCAGGTGTGTTCAGAAATTTCCTCAATTACCCATAAAATAAACCCGACAGCACCCTAACCCTGTGCTGCAAGCAACAGGTTCACGATAAAAATATACCGTGGTGCGAATGAGTTAACTAACACATTAACACAGATGATGATTTAAAGTACAACTTCACTGACACAGGGTGGAGATGAAGGAGGTTTTCTGAATTGGAAAACCTGTCCACCCTTTAAACTGACCCTTCATTTAAAAGATGTGCGAGAAGCTGACGGATTCCGACCTTAAAAAATATTTAAATGGCTAACCCCCATTTAAATACCCAAACCCCCTTTTACAGCCCAAGATGAGTAACAAACTACATGCTCCCTACAAACTACAAGGTGTACAAGCTCCCTACAAACTACCAGCTCTCTACAAACTACAAGCTACAAGACTACAAGCTGGTCGCAACGTCGTGGGAGACCATAGGGTGAGAATGTGGTAACACTATCAGCTTGTGGGTTACTGGCGAAACCGATCCTGATTCCTGACAGGAAGACGGGGAATTGGCCCTCCTGGTCAACTGTTTCCGGCGAGGTGAGACGACGCATTGCTGCCAACTCAACCGTAGTAATTGTCTAAACTAAACTGATTAGCGATCGACTACCATCACGTGATCGCGAATTCCATACAACATCTTCAGCATTTTTCTTGCGCTTTGTTTTGACTAAATACGTTACGGGAGGAAATTGAACATACCCTGTTTTGATATACTGTATGTGGAAAATTAAAAAAGGTAGGCTAGGTTTTATTGGGTTATGCAAATGTTAGATTTAAGTCACTTGAGAACGAGAGGAGTTCCCTTAGGCTACCGAAACGTAGTGTGGTCAAGCTCAAAACACTTAGCGTAGACATTTTACCAAAATAAATATGTAGGCAAACCATTTAAGTTATTACAAACCATTCGTGCTGTTGTATATTACTAATTGTTGAATATCCTGAGAAATTTTCTTCACTGAGAAATGTCTCTTCCTTAACTGTTGGCAAATTAAAGGAATGCGGTCTTTACTTCTAACAATGTTCATTGTTCTATATCAGAATCTTCGTATCAAGTCTACTGGATGGGTGATGAATGATGCCCACGCTGTCTACAATGTCGGGTCGTCATTGATACAGGCTCCGCCAGTCACATTGCTCGGGTGAACGTCCTCACTCCTCACTGATATACTACGATCCGCTACTTGCTACACTGCAATCCTACCATCCGCTACTTGCTACACTGCCATCCGCTACTTGCTACACTACGATCCGCTACTTGCTACACTACGATCCGCTACTTGCTACACTACGATCCGCTACTTGCAACACTACCATACGCTACTTGCTACACTGCCATCCGCTACTTGCTACACTACGATCCGCTACTTGCTACACTGCAACACTACCATACGCTACTTGCTACACTACGATCCGCTACTTGCTACACTACGATCCACTACTTGCTACACTGCAACACTACCATACCATTAGTATTATATTGTCTGTGACCATACGCTACTTGCTACACTACCATCCGCTACTTGCTACACTGCTACACTACGATCCGCTACTTGCTACACAGCTACACTATACATTATATACCATCCACTACTCGCTAACATTACCATAAACTACTGGTGGTTAGGCTTGGTGAGCTGGTATAACCAAAATTATTCATAACAACTCAAAGCATGATGAATAAGCATGTGGATCAATGGATTAATTGATTGTTAATTGAGTTACTGTACTTTTTAATCACTGAGTGATTCATGTCTGGTAGAAAACTCCAATGATTTCAGGTACACAATCTGATCAAAATGTCGCCCGTCACAGGGACATGAATATGTCATCTAGCCGATGTAGATAAGCTATACCAATTTGTATGTGGGCCATAACCAAAAGTACGGTGCCAAATACAATTGCTTCTTCCCTATAGGGAGATATTCGCTAAAAGGATACTCAGTAAATGTTTGGTATACATTACCTACAGGCCTATTATTTAAAAGCGACAGCAAGGTAGTTTATCTTAAAAAACTGAACAAATTTTACGTACATGATCATGGAGAAATCAGCTTTAATTTCTCTACAAATGCTCAAAGACAAAAGAATAACTTATTATAATTCCAACAACCAAGAGTCAAATCAATAGTAAGCAAACCGAAACAGTTTGATGCAAACCTAAAAAAACTAAAAAAAGTCAGTGTGTATGGATTCCCTATATGATATTGTTGCTTGATAGCCTCGATAAAATAATACCACTACTTATGTCAAATGAATACTATGGACTACTTTCCAGTCAAAATTTAAGCCAATTGTGACAACAAAATTACTTCTCTCAAAGAAATGTACTTGCCATTAAAAAACGAACTATAGTCTCGATAGTTAATTTGATCCGATACAAATATCGATAAGAAGTCACGTATCGCGCCGGGTTACAGTATGTCGATGCCCAGACATCCCTCATATCCATCCCTTTGTCCGGGTCACTCACCCCAGTGCCACTGTTAGGTTGATTACCTACTTTGTACAGGTTGTTTACGTCAGCGAGGTAAAGGTACTCTGAGGTTAAAAACCCTCTTGCATTAGTTTTTAATTTGAATTGGTAAAAACTGGTTAAAATATGTATGTTTTTAGTTTGAATTTGATGGAAAATGATTGAAAAGGACATTAAGTTTCATTTTATAAGGTTGTATAAGTAATAACATATAATAAAAAATACTTAAATGGTAGCCTAATATTTAGCCTACCTACTTCTTAATAAGTAGGCTACATACAAATAGTCGTCTATTTGTTTGAAACCCTTCTGAATATATTTAAAGTTTTAAAACAAGAATTTTTCATTGTTGTAAAGTGGATAAATAAACAAAAAACTCAAATTAACTAACAAAAAAGTATTCTGTAAAATTTTGTCCAATTGTATATGACAAAATATTACAGAATTAGTGCAGTTTATTAGTTTTATAGAGTAACTAATTAAAAAAAAATTAAAAATCTAAAAAAAATGTTTAAACTTCCTTGGTTATTCTTAGTTTCAACAGCATAAAACAACTAAAAACACAAAAGACACAACTTATATTGTGTCCATTTCTAAAATACTTAACAATTTCAATACATTTTCGCGATTTCAAATATTACACATTAAATCCATTAAGAATGTATATTTCATAAGCAAAGATGAAATGGCAGTATATGAAATAATTTACCATGTTATTGAAGTGTAATTTAGCATTTAACACGATTCAAATAACACAAAGACTTGTGGCACAGTGCCAGAAGTTTGGCCAGAACTCGCGATTCTCAGTGTGATAGTTTTAAGAGGGGGGTTTGGCTGTGCTTTTAAATAAGCTCATCGGGAAAACCACTGTTCAGATATTCCAGTCTGTTGTCAATTGCTTTTTGGATTTGAAAATTCTGTGTCAAATTTATGAAATTGTGTGATTCAAAGAATTGCAGCAGAAATAGTGTTATGTACTTATTTATTCACAACTGGTACATTTGCGTAGGTATAATTTCGTCTTGCAGTAAAAGAAGAGGCATTTTAATTTCAAAACTGTTGTGTGAAGTTTTCTTTCTATATAATTAAAGGTGAATTACTCAAAAAATATACCTAATGGCTGCAAAACATACCAAATTGATTTAAGTAGGTACAAAGAATAGGTTATCATTTACAAAAAATTAAAATTTATGTGATTAAATAAAACCCTGAAATTAGAATTTAACATCCAAATTTAAAATTGTAGCAAAAAGAAATATCTACGATTACAAAATAGTTAAAGAGCAAAAGAACGAGGGGGTTGGAAGTACCTAAGCGGCGAAGGAAATTTTTAAATTATTCCCAGCACGATTTTAAAACTTAATTTAGGCTACATGACAACTATGATGCACCTACATAAAATACAATATGACTCACCTCCGGTGCCCAAGACTTTGAGCAGGTCAAAACATGACATATCCACACGTCCCTTGCATGTCAGGTTAACTGGAAACAAAAATAAACATAAGTAAAATGCTTATGAAGTAGTCAATAAATAGTGGAAGCATGCAACATTAACTAGCCTAGTTAAAATAAAAACATACAGTTCGCTCAATAACTACAAGTTTGTTTGAGTTGGTTTGTAGCAGTCAGGTTATTCAATTAATTGCATAATGTTACTTATGGAATATTTATCTTCAAAGAAGTTAACCGATACCAAAGCTTTATACGAAATTTATTAGTTAAGTAACTTAGCCTACGAAATAAAAATGTGTTCTTACTCTCTCAAATACAAAAATCTATGTTTTACGCAAAGAGGTTGTATTGTTCCAAAAACTATTCAACGCCTAACCTTTTTTCTACTTCAAAAATGACAATTGCTTCAACTATGACAGCTATACAAAACAACAGGTTCAGTAGATACTGTAAGTAAATTAACACTTTTTACTTGTAGATGGTATTAAGAGAAGTAGTTGAACTCAAAAGTACGTACAGAGAGTAAATTACCAATTGGATGTATTGAGTAACTGTATGTGGTTTATTTATATACACATCATTTTGCAAAGTTTTTATTTGATTTGTTATAAGGAATTGACAAAAATAGAATGAGATACATCCGGATTTCATATTATAATATTCGTAAACATATTTCGTAAATCTTCATAGAAATCTTGAAACTATGTTCCTCGTCAGTTCCTTTGTTCACAAGATGCTTTGATGCCAAAACCCATCTTTCACCGCTATTTCACCGCATCTGGATAAGAAGTTGTGTCAACAATCCTTTGTCCTAATCATAACCAGCTGTCGGAAGTCTCCTCCAAGGGGGCGGAGTCCCAGGGGGGCGGACGCCACTTTGCGTTATCAATGATAAACGACGGGGGCAGACGCCCCAGCCACGGTCCATGGGTATCTCTGGAAGTTGTGACCGACTGATAGTTGACAGAAGGGAATGTAGAGTGCCTTGACATTCTGACATAGCTTCACTGATGTTCTATTACACTTTCTCAGGGGTTTGTTTCAAATTAAGAAGGGGTTGCAAAATACGAATTTTCACCAGGGAGTTACCGAATAAAATATTGGTGAAATTCGATGTATCTTGGTTATTGACTAGGTATAGAACATAAAGGAGAAAGGGATTGCTTTCTGTATTTATTTTGTGCCAAGACTTAATTTTGTTCACGACCATAATTTATCAAAGCCAATTCAGGGATACCTTTCAAACTTTGTATTTGTATTTATGTGTATATAATAATTTGGTATTGTTTTGTGATTCATAGTAAAAATATCAAGAATACAACTGGATCCAGTTTCCAACATTTCACAAAACCACTTTTTCTTAGCTACGTTGTAATTTTAATAAACATGAATTAAATGCTATTGTGAACTTGGAATTTCTTGTGTTGCTTTGTTGCTTACTATCTATTATCTTGGACTATTATTGATAGCATATCGATGATGGACAGCAAAGCTAAGCAAAGTTTCATATATTTTTAAAAAATTCCTTTTTTCAGCTTCAAGCTATTTCTTAATTGTATCTCTGTTCCTAGCTTAAAGGGAATAGACACGATTTTTCCATAACCTGACACCAACACCTTGATCGACATTCATCGACGAAATAGGTTTAAACTAAACACAACAGAATTTACGACCAATCTGTTTATTACAATGAAATAAGAAAATTGACATTTTACACTTAGGCTAGGCGCACACGAGCGATTATTTAGAGGCAACTATTTCATCGGCCGATCTGTGCATCATGTATTTGAATCGAAGCGCGCACACAGGCGATCGAGAATTGCGCCGATTTTAAAATCTGGGTTTTGCCACAGATTCGTAGGCGAGGCGATTGTCGCCCAAAAATCTGTAACGTACAGACTGTTATCAGTCCGCGCACACGGTCGACTAAAAAATCGTCCAGTCGCTTGTTGTTCTCCACAGGAGTCAGTGAACTTCAGTGTGAGTTGTGTTGTTTTCTTTGATAAAAAAGGCCCCAGCTGTTATAATAAAAACTGAAACTTTCAACAGACATTCTTTTTCTTTAGTAATTATAGTATATTTCGTACCTAGGGCCGAAAATGAGGTTTTGCCGGCTCGAGATAGTTTTTAAGTTCGAGACGAAGTCGAGAACTTAAATCGATCGAGAGCCGCAAAACCATTTCGGTCCGTGGTACGAACGCTATTTTTCACCACACTATACCCTATTACCACTATTCACCACAATAATAATGCACACTGATAGTCAACACAACTACAACTTTAAGGTTATGTGAAGAAATAATTTGAGGAATCAGCAAAAATAAAAATATATAGTTGCTAGGCAACGGTGACAATAACACAATTCTATTGAAATGCTATGGATTTTGATTATGTATTTAAAATGCATTCATGTTTTAAGTAAGTAAGCGGACAGCTGATTTTGCGGCCCCGGCCTGTAAAAACCTGCTCGGTCCCCAAATTATGGACAGCTGGCATCGCCAGCAAAACCTAACTTTCGGCCACCAATTAACGTATGTAATACAGCCAAAAACATGATAGTGTGGTGAAAAAGAACTTTTTAATGTCATCACGTAAAGTGTATAGTTTATAAAACTGTCGATTTAAATGTCTCTGACTTACTATCGGATGAACCCAATATTTAAGTTGTCTTCTTTTTCTCTTTGGTCTAATTAGAAGAGCACAAACACAGGTTAATTCAACAAAGTCCATTTTAGGATAGCTTAAACGCACTTAAAAAATCCATTTCTCGACTAAAAAATCGCCACGTGTGCGCCTGGACATAAATTAAGGGCGATTTAATTCTGGCAGATTTTTTAATCGGCCGATCGAAAAATCGACCGTGTGCGCCAGGCCATGAAATGAAATCGTTCGACTTTAGATGAAGGTTGAACGAAGAATTCCTCGGTCTCGCCAGAATGCATCTCAATCCAAACCGGAGTACAGAACGCCCGGAATAGCCCCGGACATAGACCCGAGCTATGTATAGAACATTATAGAACACACGTTAACCAACAATGTAGGCCGAACTGCCTATTGTTTTACACTTATTAGTACTTGAAATGAATTTAATACTTGTATTTCGAATAGACGAACCCGTGGTTGAAAAATTTAGGGAGATTCTTTGTTGTTGACTACAATGTTTGGGGAAAATTCTTGAAAGAGTGTATACATACTTTGGGAAAACTGTTCAATCAGTAAATCCAACGATGGACGAAATAATAGATAACTTATTGACAACGGGATAAAGGAATGCTTCTTGTAAATAATCGCATATCTTGCACTGAATAAAGGAAGACACCCATTTGGTGGCACCAAATACATGAACATTTTACACAAATAACCGAGCACTTAAGAGAATATTCAAAAAGCTCGGTACATAGCAACATTTGGTGTCTCGATATTCTATGCCCGTGCTAGAAGTAGAACAAAGGGAGCAGACACATTTAGGTCTGATGACGTTTGCTATAAGTTTCCGGGTTAAAATCTTCCGAGTTGCCGGCTGAGTGAGTTTTTATTCCTGGCACCACAGACAATGCAGTAAAATAATCACTCTTAAGTGTACAATTTGGTTAAAAGTTAATAACAAAAATCTGTGTTATGTGTTGATATAAAAATTCATCATGGATATGATAAGTTTAAATTTTATGACAAAAACCTTTTACATCACCTTTGTTTACTGAATTAAAAATAAATAAAGTTCATAACCCTGATCTGAATTTGGAAAGTAAATCTGTAAACACTATTAAAGTTTCGCACAGCATTTTCCAAACTTAGTATAATTTCGCTGGACGAAGACGACGAGTAAACCCCCTTTTTCTTGAACAATTATTGCGCATCAATTAAATCTCTTAAACCGATTGAGTGAGTTGTGATTAAGGGGCAGGAAAATGTGGAAAGATAGGGCAAAGGAGTAGAAAAATAAGAATATAGAGAGGGATACTATAGGAGGAATATATAAGAAAGAACTGAGAAAGATATGAAGTGAAGAAAAGGATACTTTGCAGGACGAATAGGAAATTACGAAGGTATTTAAAAAGTTAGGAGGACAAGTAAAACATATGGGGAATAAGAAAAAGAGAAGAGGGACTTAAGAAAAAGAGAGGATCATAATAGTAGATATAGACGGAAAACAGGAGGTGATGAAGCTATAAGGAACAGTGTAAGAACGGAGGAGGAAAAAGGAAAATATGAGGAAAACAGGAGGGATAGAAGAGGAAGATAGGAAGTAGAAAGTAGGAAGTTAGAAGACGAAGTGCGCATTGTGGCTTTTGAATAATTAGCGAGATACGTGTCCGTGTTGCGCATCTCGACCTTGTAGGATCTCCGTTGTCCTTCCATGAGTGACCAAGGCTGTCCTGGCACACACGAAATAGAATAGACAACTGGCGACTAGTCTGTAGTAAAGATAGTTCAAGAACTGGACGCATTTGCCAATACGGATGTTTTGATCATTTATTTGACCAAACAATTCTTAAATTATAAAACACCTCTAATCTCAGATCATTTGGTATAGGCTATAGAAGATGATTGAAAAGTAGTGTGTTCTGAGAAACTCGCGACTAGTCTGTAGTAAAGATAGTTCAAGAAATTGACGCATTTACCAATACGGATGTTTTGATTTTTTTATTTGACCAAACAATTCTTAAATTATAAAACACCTCTAATCTCAGATCATTTGGTATAGGCTATAGAAGATGATTGAAAAGTAGTGTGTTCTGAGAATTACTAACGTTCTACTATTGATCTCTGTGCCAACAAAATTTCTGATCTTTTCAAATATACAATTATTTTAGAGTATAGTGATAAAGTTCCCAGAGCAAAGCTCGGTCCCCAGGTACTAGAGAGAAATAGGTTGTTGCTGTTTACCAATGGTGTGTGGCTTTTGTTTTACCAAATAAACTCAGAAAACTTTCTCAATGCAAAACCTTATTATATTTCTTGTGAGCAACCGATTTACTTTTGACCTATTAACTATCGAAGGTGGAGATGGACAGTAATACAATTTGTCA